ACACACACACACACACACACACACACACACACACACACACACACACACACTGAAACCGAACAGCTCAGGTTTGTGGTGCACATAATTACCCAGACGATGCTACAGTTCGAAGAGCACAACCATAGGAGCACTGATACACACCCCTGAGGTACGCACTACTCTGCACACGGGTTCCACAAGTATGAAGAGGCGTAACGAAACAAACATCTTTCTTGTCTTTATCTTCCTTTTGTAACGTACTGTTATTATAATACTCTGGTTTGCATTTTGCACAATGTTTTGTGAATAAATATGATTTTAATTTAAGTTCATCCCTTGTACTTTACTTATGTTTTGAAAAAACAAACAAACAATCCAAATCAATTTGAAACAAAGCAGAAAACTGAAGTTTTTTTTTCAGATGACACCATCTAGAGGCTGAAAAATGTACTACATCTTAATCCACCTCCCTGCTTCTATGACAGGAGTATTCAATTCTGGGCCTGGGGGTCCAGTATCCAGCGAGTTTTAGTTTTAACTGTGTTTCAACGCACCTGGTTTCAATCAGCAGGCTTCTGCAGAGCCTGATGAGCTGCTGAACAGGTGAATCAAGTGTGTTGAATCAGAGAAACCACTAAAATGTCCTGTTTTATAGTTATTCTCACGTTATGCTGTATATTTTAAAGACTTACTCCATAAATGTTGCCAACATCATCTGTTTATACGTCTACAAACAAGCGTGCACTCTTTGCCTAACACTATCAGCTCAGGTCAACTTGTATGAGGTTTGGGAAGGGTGGGGGGTTCTTAGCAACAAAATAATGTAATGCCTACATTAAATCATGGTACAGGGCGATATGACCTAAAATCAATATCACGATATATTGAGGATTTCATCTTGATAACGATAAATGGACGATAACTTCAGGTAGGCGCAGAAACAAAAGTTGTCCACTAGATGGGGCTGTCAAGTGTTTTAGTTGAGTCACATTTTTATGTGACTCAAGGCGGTACAGCTTCTTAAAGCTACACGCATCTTTACATTTATACATTTCTGATTACAAATGTGTTTATTTGCTTTTATATGTTCTTATTTTAAACTTAATTTCTTTTAAAAGTTCAAAAATTCTAAATAGATGACAAGAACACCACTTTGTATCATGCAAAATACGGTTTCATGGTTTCTGGGTATGATGTTTATGTATTGAGCAGACGCTTTTGTCCAAAGCGACTTACAAGTGATAATCGGCATGTTGCCCTTGAGGCTAACAACAACAATAACAACAACAACTTGACATCAGTCATGGAGAGGAGGGAACAAGGAGTGGACAGTAGAGAGGGGGACGGGTGCAGGGAGGGTGCTAGTTTAGAAGATGCTCTCTGAAGAGCAGGGTCTTCAGGAGTTTCTTGAAAATTGAAAAGGAAGCAGCTGTTCTGGCAGTGCTTGGAAGGTCATTCCACATTTGTGGAACGATGCATGAGAAGTGTCTGGATTGTCCTGAGCGTGGTGTAGGCACTGCTAGCCGACCATCCTGTGATGACCGGAGCGGCCGGGCCGAGACGTAAGCCTTTGCAAGAGGATTCAGGTAGATGGGAGCCGTACCGTCTCGGACTTTGTATGCTAGTGTTAGCAATTTGAATTTGATGCCTGCTGCTAGCGGTAGCAAGTAGAGCTCAATGAACAGAGGGGTGACGTGTGCTCTTTTTGGCTGATTGAAGACCAGACGCGCCGCTGCGTTCTGGACCATTTGAAGAGGTCTCACAGTACAGCCTGGAAGACCAGTTAGAAGGACGTTGCAGTAATCGAGGCGGGAGATGACAGCAGATTGCACCAGGAGCTGGGTGGCATGTTGTGTCAGGTATGGTCTGATCTTTCGTATGTTATACAGCGCAAAGCAGCATGAACGAGCAACAGAGGCAACATTAATCACAACACTCAGATTTCGAACTGCCTTTGAAGGAGCCAGAGATAGGAAGTAATTCTGGATTGAGATATTGTGCTGTATGGATGGTTTTGCTGGGATGACCAGTAATTCAGTTTTAGAGAGGTTGAGTTGGAGATGGTGGGATTTCATCCATTTTGATATGTCAGAGAGACAGTTTGATATTCGGGCAGAGACAGCGTGGTCGTCCGGTGGAAATGACAGATAGAGCTGGGTGTCGTCTGCATAGCAGTGGTAGGAGAAGCCATGTGATCGAATGATCTCACCCAGTGAGGTGGTGTATATGGCAAAGAGAAGAGGTCCTAGTACAGAGTAGGGCTGCAACAAACGATTATTTGGATAATTGATGAATCGGATGGGGTCTCAACACGATTAATCAATTAATCGGATTACATAGGGACATTTTTAAAAACTGCTAGGGAAACGTTATTTCTCTCCTTCCTTCGTTTTATTAAACACAACATTATTAGAAAACAGTTCAATAGCAGAAAAACAACATGCCATCACCTAAATTGTCTTATAAGGTGTATAGACAGAGACCCTATGCTACATCTATCTGTGACCTAAAATGCTTAGTCCAAGTTAAACAGCTTAAAGAGCAAGTCAACCCCTACCAGAGTCTAACTCCACTCCCACTTCATGTTTGAAAAATGCAACACATGCTGTTGCCTGGCAGACCGAGAGGGCGGAGCCGCTAACAAATACACACACACTCACCCCGGCTTTCCACAGGAGCCGTCAGCAGCACGTTACTGCAGCAGCACGTCATAGCTGCTGATAGGAACCGCTGTGGTCAACAGAACCTTTTCCACCGGAGCCGTCGGCAGCCGTCAGCAGCGAGAGTCGGCCGCGTCTCAGGAGCAGCATGTCGCGGCCTTTACGCGCCGGTTCTATTTTCTACGCGCGACGCCTCTGAAACGGGTCAAGTTCGACATTTTTGGGGAAGGAAAGACAGGAAATCTGACGCGGAAATGGAGAGAAGCTACCGAGATTTTCAGAATAAAGAACGTACTGCCTTCCGGTTGCTTTACTTTTAAAAAAGGTTACTAGCTGTGCGTCCCCGTGAGAAGTTATCACCTAGCTAGCGGTCTCCTTTGTTTTTCAGGTCCGTATTGGCGATTATAAAACGGACAGAACATAAAACACAAACCATGTTGTAGTTTTCTCCTGCTTGTTGTTGTGTTTACTGACGAAGTCACTCGTGTGACTTCGTGCTCGGTCAGTGACAGCTGCTCCCCTGCTGCTTCGCGTCTCGTGGGAAGGGCCAAGCAGCAGCTTACGCGAGCAAGACGTGCTGCTGCAGTAACGTGCTGCTGACGGCTCCCGTGGAAACCCGGGGTCAGGCTCACGACAGCGTTGTGACATCATAATGTACCAGTTTACATCATAGCATACTTCTTAGCCAATAGCGGTGGCAGATTTAAATTAAAATACAGTGCAGAGTTTTTACCTGACAACGGCACAACACTGCCAGTTTTAGGCAGAATATTTAAATTTGAACTAAGATGCACTGAAGTGCCAAATTATTGACGACACGTGTCTGCAGCACGATTAGACACTCGTTTATTTAGTTTATCTGCAAAAAAAAAGTTTATTTGGGGGTGACTTGCTCTTTAAGGGGAATTCTCATCTGTTTTGTTTGATCTCATCTGTAGACATTTATTATAACTGGGGATGTCAAACAACTAATTTTTAAATGTAATTAAACATAGGCTGTGAGTTAATCAAAATTAATCACTATTTCCAAAAATGACTGAAAAAATACCAAATAAAACAAAAGTAAATGAATGCCATCCTCCTTGCGATGATGCCCTGGGCAACTGCCATAAAGTCACATCAAGAAATGCTGCTGATCATTCCAATGATCCCAAATAGACTCACATTAGGCCACATGAAAGCAACTGAACACAAAAATATATTAACCAGTATATAACTACACTCTCACACAACACGCCTGCAGCAACAGTTAGGACTCCTCCCTCCCTTTTAAAAGCGTTTTCAGGAGGACTTTGTGGTTGTAAAACCACATGCTAGTAGTCTGGCCCCGGTGTGATCAACCAGTTTCTGCAGGAATGTGACGGCGGAACCGGTTCGCAGCGGCGCAAGTCCCCCCATCCAATAGCGTCACGCTTACGATTTTATAGACTTTTCTTTACGAGTTTAGGGCATGTCTAGCCTGTGTAATAATCCGGGGCTTGGGTGAATCACTTTTGAAAAGTTTTTAACTTACCCGGACACCGAGCTCTCTCCTTCCTCGCTGATGATTCCGACATGCTTGTGTTTAAGATGCTGCATCATCACTGTAGTACTCCCGTGCCATGCTAAGTCTGACCTACAAACGTTGCAGGTAACGAATGTCCGCCTGATTTAACTGAAAATGCTCCCAAACTTTAGAAGTTTTTACTTTTTTGGTTCTCGCTGCTTCTGCCATGTTCCTCCTCCAAACACCTGCCGGCTCTCCCTCGCGCTGATCTGGCTTGCTCCGGTCTGCGTGCAACGGCGGGCGGAGGGGCTTTTGGAAGAGTTGTGCGACACAACGAATCGATGACGCAATTCGTTGCCAACGCTTTTAGTAATCGATTTTCATCGAATTTATCGATTCGTTGTTGCAGCCCTAATCTCAGGAACACACCTTCCTTGATCCGGATGCTCAGATCTGCAGTAAAGGACTATCTATGTGTCACGCGTTTAACTTAACTTTACTTTGTCCTTGTGTGAGTGTAAATGGTGATGACCTTGCCATGTCAACATGCTGAAACATATTTCAGTCAATGTAATCATAACATAACATTCATTTCAAACTTCAATCACTCAAGCACAGATTAATGAAAACATTTCATTATACTATAATTATTATAAGTAGCAATAAACAAATGTTTATTTAATGTTCATCCAGCTTATAAGTTTTAAAAGTTCATATTTAATTTAAGAAATCATCCTTTGATTTAGCGACTGATCCGAGCTGCGAATGTTCCTCATTCAGAGGCACGAAGAGTCCTGTAGGACGATGAGGGGAGCTTGGACCTTGAGGAGAGAACATCATTGTTGACATTTTGTTATCGTGTGTTCAGAGCTGCAGAGAGGCTCTGAGTTCCAGCTGATGGGATGAAGGCAGGCCGATTTAAAGGGAACACATGCAGTCTCGTATCTCCATTTTGACCAGACGTTGAATGGTCAAACTGTACCTAAAAACTGACCATTGCTGGATGTTACATAACAAAGAGGGACAAATCCACAGGGGTCTGGATACTTTCCTTAACCACTGTATTTGAAATGTTAATTGTGGGTATTTTGTTTTACAATCCAGTGACAAATCCTCATTATAGTATATTATGGTCAAAAATCAGTATTATATTAACTGATGTAGCGTAATGGTTGTTGGCTCTTTTATGAAAGAGGAACCATTCTACATAATAATCTGGAATATTAATTTTAGCAAATTAATAACCAAATGTTATAGAGATAAGAAGACTCAAAGGTTGTTTTCATCGATAAACTGACGATCATATCTGGTTGTCTGTGTTTCAGTTCAATGAAAAGACAAGTTTAAATTTTAAGAGATTTATTTCTTCAATTTAAACTAACGATTTGAAATGACAATCATAGGAAAACAATCAACATTGGCAATCTTGTTGGACAATCTTTAACAGTTGATATTTTAAGCTTGCACAAATAGACCTTGTGTTGGATGTGCTAAGATTTGAGAATGATGGAATTATGAATGCGTGCAGGCAGGTGTCTGAGATTGCTTCAGGGAGAGAAAAGGTGAATCTGAGTGAAAAATGATGTTTTGCAATTAAACTTTGGTTCTTATTAGAAAACAGCATCAGAACGCTATCTATCGTGTTCTGCCTCACCGCACTTAGGACCCTCTTTTAGATCCGGACCTCACAGAAGGATGTGTTCTCCAGAGGACACCTTGGCTGACAGAGAAGACGAAGCTGTGCTGACGGTCCAGTCCAGAGTTGACCTCGGTACACGTTGCTGAAGCGTTTGGCAGATGCGCTTTCTCAAGTTTAAATTAACTCAGAAATCAAAAGACTCTGGGACGAGTCTGCGTTAGCTGGTTGCATTTCAGCTATTCTGTCTGGCTTGACAGGAATAGCGTGGAGGGAGAAAAGGAGCCGGCAGGGCTCCTTTCCCCGTGGCGTTCGTTCCGCACTTCCGTTCTCTCTCTCATTCTGACTAACTTACCAAAACCACTTCTCTTCCCAAAGCAAACTTGTTGTGCGTCAGAGCAAATGTGTTTTGAAGTTACTGTGGATACAGACCTGTGTGAGCAGGTGTGAAGGTCATCGCTAAACATCTTCAAAAACATTTAATTAAGTATACTGATTCATTATAGTTCGTTATGATTACCCAAAGCATAATAATCATTCATTTGATTAAAAATACATTTATAATGAGCAAAGCGATCAAATGATTATTTAACATTTATAAAATGAAGAAAAGGAAGCTTAAGGCTCTGTTTTATTATGACTAGACTGTAAGTGAAGTCCTTCTTCTGAAGAGCAGGTGTTGGATGTTGTGGAGTCCTTCAGACTTGCTGGCGGCTTAGGTCTTAATCTGTGGGTGAAGGTGCTGCGCGACCCAGCTTTGACCCAGCCGGGCAAATACGACCTTTGGCACAGAAACCCATACTTCCTCACGTTACACTGACCAATACAACTGTTTATTGGAACATGGCAGGAATCTGCACAGTTTTGTGATGTTAGCACACACGTTTAAGCTAGCGTCGTTCACTCACTGAAACACCTGCTCACTGTGCAGAAACACACTTGTGCAGTGAACATGTGAACTAGACAATGACATGGACAAATATTTCTGGCACATTCAGATTGCCATTCTTCACTGGGACCATCAACCGTTGGCTTTTTAGTGGAATACTCAACACGACCATTAAAACGTACGGTTAAAGGTAGCAAATAAGTCATGTTTTTGTTCAGTTATGTCATTTAATCATTTGTTTAAAGCTTCATCTTTAAAAAGCCTCAAAAGAAAACTGAACTTTGATTGTTAACCACCAGATGGCGCCTTGCTGCTTAGAAACTGGCTGTCTTGATGCTTCAATGACACCACCCATGGTGAGGGGAGCTAAGTCTTTATTTTTCCAGCCTCAGGGAAAAAACTGGTGTTTATTAAGACCCTCAGACATTTAACCTGATCTTCCCTCACTAACGTAACCCACTGATCACCAGCAGGAGTGCAGCAGCAGGGTGAGTCACATCCATAATTTGCTGCTTCTGTCCTTACTTTTGATGGTATTCCAGCTTGTTGCCACTAGAGTGCAGCATAGAACCAACCCCCGAGTCCCTCCTGTCTGGGTGAGACACCCAGACACACAGATCAGTTGTTTTTACTGACATGTAAATCTGTAAAGCTGCATGTCTATGGCTCACAGCATAACCACATTTTAAGGTTACTTTACAGGTGCTAGAAAGTTAGTGATGCTCTAACAAAGCTCTGTGCAGGCTGTCCAACAGGTTTGATTAGGGAACACAAGGCCACCACGTGACCTGACCTTCCTCCGTTTCTTATATAATCAAATCAACAAGGTGTGCTGGAGGACGGGAGTGCCCGTTTGCCTTTTTTCCCCCCCTGCAATGTATTGTGGGTAAGCCAGCTCGGAGACGATGCTGATCAATCACAGGCAGTGGAGCTGTGATGTTGGGTTGCCAGGCAACAGCAAAGGAGAAGCAAGAGAAGCCCCCGCCCTCCCCCCAGGGTGGGGGTTGTCTCAGATTTTCACCTCTGTCTCCTTCCTGGGTATGCACAGCTTCACCTTCTCCTCCTCCCTGCAGAGCGAGCGGCCCGTGAGTCTGCAGGATGTGAGCCGACACGAGCACACACAGGGACTTAATACGAGGTGTGTGTGTTAATCCGTATGCATTCTAGGAAAATGCTTTTATTTACGCTTATTGACCACTCATGATGGAATTAAACAGGATTAGACTTTTGATGAAACGTCCGGCACAAGGAACCACTTGTTTGACCTTCTGGCAAAGGTTACTGGCCCATTATGTGAGACCCAGCTGTCTTTAGCCAAATAAGAACAAAATAATGAGGATGGACCAATTTCATGGTTCTTTGTGGCGAGTTAACAAACAGGCAGACGTTCTGGTTCGTTTTACTTGTTGATCAAGACCTCTGTGAGGAGGCTAACCTGGCCGACCAAAGGCAGCAGCTTAAAGAAAACAGACGAAACAAAAATAAACATGTTTGAAGTGAAGACAGTTGAATTAAAAATGAGGTGCAATGGCTGACTGGCTGGTGATTTACTCGCAAAATGCAGGCTGAACACAAAAATAGTCTCCTACACCTATCTCCTGCATTAGCTTCTGATAGAAAACAGACGTGAAACTGTAGGATTAGAAAATCCTGACAGATCTAAATCACTCTGTCGCTTCACGTTCATGGACTCACCCATCTTGACTCCCAGTGGGCGTCCAGGAAACAGCAGAACATGTCTTGGCTGGTAGAAGGTAACCGTTAGCATTAGCAACTCCATCACACAGCAGAACTCCTCCAGGTTTGTGACATTTGTGGAAATAAAACATTAGTGATGCAGAGCAAACAGAGCCAGTGAAAGAGTTGTGTTGCTGTTAGCCAATCAGAGGCAAGAAGTCCAAATATAAGGAAATGATCATGTCATGTGACACTCCTCCTGTGCTGAAACAAACACATCTTAGCTTTTTTTCCCCAGAGCATGACTTAAAAGGCACTCATTCCTACTAGAGACCACCGCAGATGTATTAAAAAATATATATGAGCAAAGGACCTCTCCAGGTTTGGGCCCAAATTATAAAACTAGTAGGCCTCAACAAAAAGTTATTTTTAATTAAAAAAAAGCAAAATTACTTTTACTTTTGTTATTTGTACTCAACAGTAATCTAAAGATAAGCATACTGAAAAGACAAAATTCAACATTCTCTAAATCAGTGGTTCCCAACCTTTTTCCCAAGGGACCCCTTTTTTTACCAGTAAAATGTTTGATGACCCCCTCCCATTCTCTCTTCCATTACAAACATTATGATAAAATTGTTCAAGCACATTTTAATATGCTTTGTTCAATAGATAACAGTAATAGTAGTTTCCAGTACAGAACAAAGTCATTAACAAAACCAAACAGAGCATCAATCATTCCTTTCAATGAACGTTTGACACATAAATAATACACTGAGCAAAATGTACTTAAATGTGTATATTACTGTTTGTACTAGATTATTTACTGTAAAGGCTGTGATTAATCAACCAGTCCTATCTTTAATGAACTTTTGACACTTGAAAATAAACAGTGAGCTGAGCAAAATGTTCTTAAAAGTGTGTTACCTTTTCTGTACTAATTATTTCCTGTCTTAATATCAGTAAACTTTTCACTCATGAAAAAAAAGATGTGAGCAAAATGTAGGCTATAAACAAGTAATAAATGAAGTTTTAACCCCTTAAAGTGGAGAGGTCCTGGCGACCCACTGAGAGGCTTTGGCGCCCCCTTGTGGGGGTCGGGACCCCCAGGTTAGGAACCACTGCTCTAAATGCACTTTGGATCCGCAACAACTCCAAGGACCACAAATGGACCCCAGAGCTGCACTTGTACATGCCTGACTAAAAGTAACATCACGGATTATCGGTCGGTTCCAGTCGGACGTTTTAGTTTGGGCACGGCTCTAAAATAACTTTTTTTTCTCATCAATTTTCAAAAAAATAAAAAAGTTTTATTTCTTTACTATTTTAGTGCCAGGTGTCTGCGGTGATGACTAAATCAAATAAGAACTAAAAGTAATCTTTTGTGAATTTAGCATTTCTGAAAATCACAGTCCTTGTTTTTGACAAACCAAAATGTTATTGTTCTTTAGCAGCTTGAGTGCCAAAGCTGAGTATTTGTTTGAGAGGGAAACAACTCGCACAAAGATCACAGGGATTTTTGACCTAATTTTTCATTTCTTCCTCCTTAGGCTGCAGCCAACCTTCATGCGCATATCAAACCACTTCTGTGCATTTCATTGAATATTTAGAGCGGGGGGAGCGGATCCGAGTCCCTTGAGGGCTGCTAGCCTGCATGTTTTTGTTGTTTCCTTTTCCCACCTCACCTGATTTCAATCAGGAGGCGATTACCAGTTTCTGTAGAGTTGCTGGGCTGCTGAACAGATGCTTCAACCACCGAATCAGGAGCAAGGAAACAGCTAAAACATGCAGGTAAGCAGCTGGTTCCCCACCCCCGATTTAGAGCTTCCTGCCGTGTTCCATAAAAGCTCCCAATGAAAGATCTTTAATGCAGCATTTGCTTCCCAAAATAGGTTTTATTTTGGAAATCTAGATTTTGAGTTTCGTTGCCACATCTTTGGTTATAACAAAAATGAAAAGTCACTTGTCACATTTAGCAAAAACACAGAGTTGAGTGTAACATGAACCTGAATCACATGAATGATCCTGTTTAACCTGCAAAGCAATCATCACTGTGAAATGACATTATTTATGAAAAGAATTAGGAAAAACAATGAAAAAGAGAAAATAAACAAGCACTTACAAAAAATATTTCCTTTATTCTTTTGGCTTTAAAACGATGTTTTGATATGAGCGGACAGTAGTCACTTCCTGCATGCAGTTCACTAAAAAAACACTACAAGCGCGATGAGAGATGGCTACTGATTGCTTCATGGTGTGTATCTTACAGACGTGGGGACCATACATGTGTTTTGTCATGTGTCACGGTGCAGAGAAGAAAAAAAAACCCTCTAGAAAAACAAATGAGACCTGAAGACTGGAAAAATGCACTCGTATCTACAGTAAAAATGTTATTTATAATTGGTGGGACATAAGCAACCTGAAGAGCCCAGTTAGACACAAACACACACTCAGGAAACAAAAGGATGGATTCTCATGAACAAACACTCCTTTCCCTGGCACACACACACACACACACACACACATGGTATTACATAGCAGTGGGGATAAAAAGTGCTCTTACATCAAATGTAAGTGTGATGCATACTGTGGGCCCAAATAGCTATAATATTTACAAACCGAACCACTACGTTAAAACCACTCGCTTCTCAATTTAAACAACATGAATGGCATACAAACATCTGTGATATTACAGCCTCTATATGTGATATATTGTCGTGTTCTAGCTCTGTGAAGCGGTTAGAAAGACTCAGTTTCTTTTTATATTTAAGACATTTTCTTTACAGGAGCTTTGTGGGACGTGGAGAGGAGGAGGTGCAGGGGAGGCGTGTGGAGGATAAAGGGGAGCACAGCGAATGCAGGAGACACCGCAACACAACATCAGCAGATGAACCAGCAGGTTGGAGTGTCACTGTGAGAGTCGGAGTTTTGGGAAAATCACTGCTTAACTTTGCTGCCAAGAGTTAGACGAGAATATTAATACCACTCCTGCAACGGCACAGTGAAATGTTCTCCAAATGAGGTATTTTTGTGAATATTTTCTTTTTAAAATAAAAGAAAATTAACTATATTTGTTTAGGGATGAGCAAAATGAGGGTATAAGATGGAGCTGTCATCTTCCCGTTCAATCTGTTAGCAAGACTGAAAAGAGTGAACTGTTTCCACACGGACCATTTTAGATGTGACACACTCAGGGCCCGATCACTGAAGTGTGTATTCACAAAAAGAAAGTGAGTATAGCTTAAGACATGTTTAGCTCTTATTTTGTCAGCATAACTTTAATTTTGTGGTTGCACAGTTCACGCTGATCCCTGGCTGTTGTTAGCATATTAGCATAATGCAGCTAATTTTCAGCTAAAAAACATTTGTTGCCATGTTGCCTAACCCTGTAACCATTGTTCTTCATTAATGTCTGATTGGTGTATTTGTTTCTTGTTCTCAAATGTATTTACCGCAACTTTTACCTGATATTGCAGACAAAACGTGTTTAATGATCTGCTAGCAAGGGACTTGTTAGCAAAACATGTTTAGAAAAAGATGTTGACATTTCTAGATGAAAGAAATTGGTTCAGCTCACAATTTTTACCTCTACTATATCTGCATTGAGACAATTTGCCTGAATGTTTAAATTGTTAAAAGTCAGCGGGCTAACTAACAAGCATTAGCATTAGCAATGCTAAGGAAGCATCCTCATTTACTGACTTAACTGCTTTTTGGTTTTCTATTTCATTTATTTTTTTGTCTACACAAATAAAATGATTACTGAAGGTGAGAAAGGGTGCAACACTCCAATCATTCTTTAATCTCCAAATTAAAAGCACAAATATAAATTATCTGACAGACAGCACTCATCAAGCAGATAGGGGAATCCTCACAAGAATTGCGTGAAGTTAATTTGTTACTGCAACAGGTCAAACAGTCCAATTTATGAGGCAAAGGATTTTAGAAAACTAGAAAATAACATTTTTAGGGAGTGGCGTGTAGTTATGACTTACCGTGAGCTGAGCTGAAAACGAGCATTAAGCAGAATTTAGGTTGAGGGTAAAAACAGGCACTGACTCTGATCAGATCAAGTCTGACTTTAGGTTGTGAATCTGCAGGACTGAGGTCGGTACATTCCTACACTACTCCTAAGAATTAAAAACTGCTGCCTTTAACCAATCAAGCTGGCACAAGAGTGGTGCCAATGGTGTCATCGAAATCTTGGCAAAAAAGCAACCAAGAGCGTTTCCCAAGTTTCTTCAGACGTGTCTCATTTCTCCAGCTTGCATACATTCAGCTTCTCTGCATTTGGAGACACATTTTTGTTGGTTTTCACTCAAACCAGAACCTGGCAGTCCAGATGGAAGCCCAAAACACCAGTGATTACAAGGTATTTGTTCATTGCACTTCAGAGGCATGTTTCAGCTTCATATACAGTATGAGCCACGAGCATTCCAGTACTGACCTGGTTCTGTACGAGTTTCAGGAGGTTGTGGTTTCCAGCATCGACTTTTCTGCCCTTGGTGATTGTACAACATTGAAAGTAGACACATTCTCAAAAGTGATGAAAAAAAAAAGTAGAAAACATTCTGTTTCATAAAAAAAGAAATAAAAACAAAAACAAACTAAAATTATGCAGAAAAACTGTTAAGTCATACAGCAGTTTTTAAATTCAAGACACTGGATTGAAAGTAGTAGCAGCAACCACTAGCTACAGACAAATTAACAGTACACTCAAGTGTGTCAGATAGTAACGACAACCAAACAGAAACACCACAAGCGTTTTGAATAGAGGCTGCTCCACGTTTCACTCAACCTCTGGCAGTGTCTTGCTGGGTAACTTGCTTCCACCCCCCCTCTGGGAAGGACCCACATACTGGTCATGAATGTGCTCCCTTTTTCAGCCCTTCCAGGCACAGCATTCCTCGTCTCTGAATAACCGACACACAAGCGCACATCTATCTACCAACTCTAGAAGCTGTAAACAAATTTCCCTTATATCTGATGCATTTTTTGTTCTTTTTTTGAGAAGTCTACTTCTTTCTGTCTTTTAAGTCTTTCCCTTTGTTTTCCTTTTCTCTGTTTTCCTTTTCGTATTTGTCTTTGTCTGACTTGGTCACGCTGTTGTAGGAGGGTGGGGAGGCTGTGGATGGAGTCATGTCTGTTTTATCTGAGGTGGAGTTCTCATTGAACTTGCTAATGACCATCACGTCCTTGTCTGGGTCACGGACACCCTCCTTTAACTGCTCCTTGTATAGGGCAGAGGCCTTTTTCATGGCCTGGCGTATCATGTGGCGGCGGAAGGCTCTCTGGATTACTATGACTGACGTCTCCTCCTGTTTGCGGCGCAGGGTGGTGGTAATGGGTTCGTAGGAAACCTTTGAGGGGTTGGAGGCCATGAAGCGCTCCTCCATCTGCCCACGTAGCATGTCCATCTCACCACCTTCACCCAACACCCTCTTGGTAAAGGCAAACAAGATGTCAAGGCAATGGATCCGCTCACCGCTCACCATCGGCAGGTCCATGGTGATGAGTTGGGTCATGTTAGGCTTGGGAATGCGTAGCGGTGGGTCTAGAGCATCTGCAAAGTCAGAGAGTTTGCTGTATTCCACAAACTGAGTGGCATCAGGATCAAAGCGTTCCCACACTTCATAGAACATCTCAAAATCGTCTTCGCTGAGCGGCTCAGCGCTTTCCTCGGTAGCCACGCTGAAGTTCTCCAAAATGACGGCAATGTACATGTTCACCACAATCAGAAAGCAGATGATGATGTAGCTGACAAAGAAAAAGATTCCCACCGATGGGTTACCACAGTTGCCTTTGTAGTTGTTTCCTGGGTGCTCCATCTGGCTGTCACAGTCAGGCTCCCTCTTGTTCAGTATGGGTGCCAACAGGCCATCCCATCCGGCTGAGGTTGTGATCTGAAACAAACAGATCATGCTGTTCCCGAAGGTTTCAAAATTGAACATATCATCAATCCCTGCTTCTCTCTTGACATATGCAAAGTTGGACATGGCGAAGATGGCATAGATGAACATGACCAGGAAGAGAAGGAGGCCAATGTTGAACAGGGCAGGGAGCGACATCATCAAGGCAAAGAGGAGCGTCCGGATGCCCTTGGCACCTTTGATAAGGCGAAGAATACGACCGATCCGGGCGAGTCGGATAACTCGGAACAGCGTCGGAGACACAAAGTACTTCTCGATGACTTCAGATAAAAACATACCTGCAACAACAAAAAATGATTAATCAGACATGCTTTTACATAAATATCTGCCTGAAAGTGGAAACACCTTGAAAAGTCCACTTACCTACTATTGAAAGGATCACTACCACAAAGTCAAATATGTTCCAGCCAATCGTGAAGTAATAGTGACGCAATGAGATCATCTTGAGTGCACACTCCCCAGTGAAAAGAACAATAAAGACCAGGTTGATCCAGTAAAGGATTCTGTCCGTCTCTTCTGTCTGGTCATCGGTCTCTACCATCATGGTCACCATGTTAAGGCAGATTAGGATCATGATAACAATGTCAAACGCCTGCTTAGTGATGAAGTCAAACACAAAGCCTTGAAACTCATTCTGAAAGCAGGAAAAGGGCAAAGAAAAAGATAGAGTTTTATTCATTTCATTTATTTATTAATGGTCCAAAATCAGGAAAGGACCCAGTTTAGGGACTCAGTCCTACCGTTGGCCGAGGAATAGGCTTCTGTGGTTTCTTGGAACCAAGTTTCTTCATGGCATTGTAGTATTTCTTCTGTTCTTCTGTCATGAAGATGTCTTGACCTCCGAAGTAAAGGGGGCATGCAAAAAATGGTTATAACCATATTCTGTGATCTTTGTTTTTGGATGGGGTTGGGTTTTCGGTTGAAAGACAAAAAAAGGATCTTTTTGGAATACATCTGAATTAAAACAAAACCGTAAATGTGCACCACAGCTTATGAACCACAGCTATGCTACCCCACTGCCAAGTATTAATAATGCAATGAAATGTAAATAATTAAGTAGCTGTTGCAATCTGAAGGTGACTTTCTTTTTTGATGAGATACAGCAAAGTATCGCGTCTTTCAGTCACAAATGAAATAATTACTGTGCCTCACAAACGTCTCCTATTTGAATTTACCGACATTTTGCTCCGCTAAACAGCATTCATCTTCTTTTTTACTAAACATGATGTTTCTTGTAAATTCAAGGGAAAACCCCAACAAAAATCCTTACACAGAGTGCCAGTTTCCAAAGTGGCTCACATTTCAGCTAGCAGAGTCACAACACTGTCACTAATGTCCCTCCCAGTATCACACACAAGGCCCACACGAGAGCGTCGGTTCTGCTCAGTGAGTGGATGATCTGTGTCTGCAGGGAGGACTGGTGCCAACACTCTGCAGCCATCTGTGTGATGCTTTGGCTGTGGGGTTGGAGCCTCCATCAGCCAAGTCATACGGCCAGCCTGCAGCAAACGCAGCACTACACCGCCACTCCTTTCCCTCCCCCTTCTTCTGGGCGTTGCCAGGCCTACTTGTTACCTCTTGGCTAAACCGAAGGAGTAATTCCAGACTAGCATCACGGGGTGTTTCTTGGTGACTCATGCATCCTCGATGATCCTCCTTTGCGACAGGGTCCTCACAGAGCAGCAGCTGATCATTATTCTGTAGTTCATGTCTTTCTTTGGCACAGCTGTGGGTCTACTTGGTCTAAATTTGTGGTTTGCTTGCTTCGAGCTGTGGCTGTGCTGAGTGTTTGGCCCAGTGTGACACAGCGCCGGTACCTGCTGGTGTTCCGTTTCAAAGAGCAGCGACACTCACCACGCAACATCGACGCTGGATGTGTCAACATTAATGAAAACTTTCTTTTCTTCACAGAAAATGGATCTTTTCTCTGAAAGGTTTCTGCTTCTGGAAACAGTTTATTATAGTGTTGGAATGTTGGAGGTTTACAAGTAAATTTGACCATTTAGTATTAACTAACTACCTGGAAAATGTTTTATGAATAAATCCATGCTAAATTTGATTATTACTTCGACTCCTGTGAAGCTGCTTTGACCTCAGTGAGTGTTTTCACAGCCTCAGAACACAATCTTGACCCATCCATTCATCCATTTTCATCCGCTTATTCGGAGTCGGGTCGCGAGGGCAGCAGCCTAAGGCGAGAGGCCCAGACTTCCCTCTCACCAGCCACTTGGGCCAGCTCCTCTGGGAGAATCCCAAGGCATTCCCTGGCCAGGTGAGAGACATAGTCCCTTCACCGTGTCCTGGGTCTACCTGTAGGTCTCCTCCCGGTTGGATGTGCCCGGAAAACCTCACCAGGGAGGCGTCCAGGAGGCATCCTGACCTGATGCCGAAGCCACCTCAACTGGCTCCTCTCGATGTGGAGGAGCAGCGTGTCTACTCCGAGCCCCTCCCGAATGACCAAGCTTCTCACCCTATCTCTAAGGGAGAGCCCTGCCACTCTTTGGAGAAAACTCATTTTGGCCGCTTGTATCCGCGATATCATTCTTTCGGTCACTACCCAAAGCTCATGACCATAGGTGAGAGTAGGAACGTAGATCGACCGGTAAATCGAGAGCTTCGCCTTCTGACTCCGCTCTCTCTTCACCATGACAGACCGGTACAATGCCTGCATAACTGCAGATGCAGCACCAATCCGCCTATCGATCTGACGCTTCAGTTTTCCCTCACTCATGAACAAGACCCCGAGATACTTAAACTCCTCCACTTGGGGGCAGGACCTCATCCCTGATCCGGACAAGGCATTCTACCCTTTTCCGAATCAAGACCATGGTCTCAGTTTTAGAGGAGCTGATTCTCATCCCAGCTGCTTCACACTCGGCTGTGAACCGCTCCAGCGAAAGCCCTGAGACCTGATCCTCAGGCCACCAAAACGGATGCCCTCCACACCTTGGCTGCACCTAGAAATCCTGTCCATAAAGGTTATGAACAGAATCGGTGGCAAAGGGCAGCCTTGGCGGAGTCCAACTCGCACTAGGTACGAGCCCGACTTACTGCCGGCAATGCGGACCAAGCTCTGACACCGGTCATACAGGGACCTAACAGCCTGTATCAGAGGGCATGGTACCCCATACTCCCGGAGTACCCCCCACAGGGCCCCCCGAGGGATGCGGGCAAACGCCTTCTCCAAATCCACAAAACACAAGTAGACTGGTTGGGTAAATTCCCACGCACCCCCCAGGATCTCCCTAAGGGTATAGAGCTGGTCTAGTGTTCCACCGCCAGGACAAAAACCACATTGTTCCTCTTGAGTCTGAGGTTCAACAATCCGATGGACCCTCCTCTCCAGAACCCCTGAATAGACCTTACCAGGAAGGCTCAGGAGTGTGATCCCCCTGTAGTTGGAACACACCCTGTGGTCCCCCTTTTTAAATAATGGGACCACCACCCCGGTCTGCCAGTCCAGTGGGACTGCCCCCGATGCCCACGCGATATTGCAGAGCCGCGTCAGCCAACACAGTCCCACAACATCCAGAGCCTTAAGGAACGCTGGGCGGATCTCATCCACCCCTGGAGCCTTGCCACTGAGGAGTTTTTTAACCACTTCAGTGACCTCAGCACCAGAGATTTGACAGGCCAACCCAAAGTCCCCAGACTCTGCTTCCTCACTGGAAGACGTGTCGGTGGGATTGAGGAGATCTTCGAAGTATTCTGCCCACCGATCCACAACATCCTGAGTAGAGGTCAGGAGCACACCGTCCCCACTGTAGATAGTGTTGGTAGCGCACTGCTTTCCCCCTGAGGCGCCGGATGGTGGACCAGAATCTCCTCGAAGTTGTACGGAAGTCTTACTCCATGGTCTCCCCGAACTCCTCCCATGCCCGGGGTTTTGCCTTGGCGACCACCCGAGCCGCGTTCCACTTGGACTGCCGGTACCCGTCAGCTGCCTCTGGAGTCCCACAGGCCAAAAAGACCTGATAGGACTCTTTCTTCAGATTGACAGCATCCCTAACCGCCGGTGTCCACCAGCAGGTTCGGGGGTTGCCACCACGACAGGCACCGATGATCCTGCGACCACAGCTCCGGTCGGCCGCTTCAACAATGGAGGCACAGAACAGGGTCCATTCAGACTCAACGTCCCCCGCCTCCCCCGGAACATTTAGGAAGCTCTGTCGGAGGTGGGAATTGAAGCTCCTTCTGACAGGAGATTCTGCCTAACATTCCCAGCAGACCCGCGTGATACGTTTGGGCCTGCCTGGTCTGACTGGCATCCTCCCCCACCATCTGAGCCAACTCACCACCAGGTAGTGGTCAGTTGACAGCTCCGCCCCTCTCTTCGCCCGAGTGTCTAAGACATCAAGCTTGGACTAATGTCTTTTGCAGGTCAGATGAAACGACAATAAAGTCGATCATCGAGCTGCGGCCTAAGGTATCCTGGTGCCAAGAGCACATATGGACACCTTTATGTCTGAACATGGTGTTCATTATGGACAATCCATGACTGGCAAAGAAGTCCAATAACAAAACACCACTCGAATTCAGATCAGGGGGGCCGTTCCTCCCAACCACACCCCTCCAGGTTTTACTGTCGTTGCCCACGTGAGCCTTAAAGCCCCCCAGCAGAACGAGGGAGTCACCGGAAGGAGCGCTTTCCAGCACCCCCTCCAAAGTCTCCAAAAAGGGTGGGTAGTCTGAACTGTAGTTTGTTGCATAAGCACAGACCACAGTCAGAACCCGTCCCCCCACACGTAGGCGGAGGGAGGCTACCCTCTCATTCACTGGGGTAAACCCCAACGTTCAGGCACCAAGATGGGGGACAACTAGTATGCCCACCCCTGCTCGGCGCCTCTCAGTGGGAGCAACTCCAGAGTGGTAGAAAGTCCAACCCCTCTCAAGGAAACTGGTTCCAGAGCCAGAGCCATGCGTTGAGGTGAGTCCGACTATATCTAGTCGGAACCTCTCAACCTCACACACCAACTCAGGCTCCTTCCCCACCAGAGAGGTGACATTCCATGTGCCAAGAGCCAGCTTCTGTAGCCGAGGATCAGACCGCCAAGGTCCCCGCCCTCGACTACCACCCGTCACACACTGCACCCGACCCCTTTGGCCCCTCCCATGAGTGGTGAGCCCATGGGAGGACAATCTTGACCCTTTATGGACATTTTCAACAAAGTACAATAACAGTTTTATACATTTTTGTTCTGTTTATATTAAATAAACAGAAAAGTGGCAAAAGCCTCCTTTACTTTTTGTGTTTAATGTGATGGAGCTATACGACGAGAGAGAAGCCTACAAATTAGACACGATAACCAATTAAAGCTACTTATCTTTTTCTTCTGCTGGTTGAAGTTGTCGATGATGACACCGATAAACAGGTTCAGGGTGAAGAAAGATCCGAAGATGATGAAGATGACAAAGTACAAGTACATGTACAAGTTGACTTCATACGCAGGCTGGTCCTCCACCTATAGCCACAAACAACAGAAACACTCATGAAGAAGCTAAAATTACACATCAGATGGAGGTTTATTGGCCAAAGAGTGAAACTCAGTTTATAAACGGTTCTGTGAGGCATGGGGATGCTTACGTTTCGTGAGTCCACAGCTGCATACATGATGTCCATCCAACCTTTAAATGTTGCCTGAAAACAAAATGGAAAGTTTCCATCTGAGCCCAAAGGAAGTTGTCCTTTGTTATAGTTATTTACAGCCAGTGATCTTCTTACTGTTGTTCCCAGTTTGATTGAACATTTTATATTTATTAAATTAAAATTATATTTAATTAACATCCTTATGGGTAGGAATAAAATGGAAAAAAGGTTGTCCATGGTTTTAATTAAGATCAGATAATCCAAAACAAATGTGTTGTTCTTGATAAACTGAAAGGGAAATGAAGACCATAAAACAATAATTCAGGTGGTTAAAAGCTTCCAGATACCAGAGTTGAGCCAACAGCTTGTCAATGCAAAATAAACTCATCCAAATGCTGTTTTATAACCTTAAGTTCTTCCCACTACACACTCATCCTGACATGCTAAATGTTACAGTTAACTAGAGTTAGCTAGCTTAATTAATGCTATGTAAATAGGCGCATTTAGAGAAGCTAGCAGTGACATAAATGCTCACAAAATAGCTTCTGCGTGACTCACGGTTTAGTACGTGTGACTGAAATTATTTAGGAAAATAGGAAATCCACTCAGACTAGCAGTTAGCCTATCAATCTGGTCAGAACTAATGTGTACTTTTTCAAACTACCGCTGTTCAAAGGGCCATAAGTATAGCTTCTTCATAGAACCTCTCTCTAAAAGAGGTGAACTATCCCTTTAAGGCGCTGTGTTTAACAGTTTATTTGACCAACGTTTTCTGGTATAGGGTTAGGTGTTTCCCCCAGCTCTCCCATCACAGTTTTATTTCTGTATTGGATGATTTTTGTCAGAACCCAAGTCCCCAAACCAGCCTCTCCCAGCTAGCCGACCTCCACCATGGACCACAACTCCCAGCATGCCCCTCGCGGGAATTCCCTCCACGTCGCACCTACGTCACGAACCACGACTATATACGGAAGTCGCCTCCCCAGCTCACCGCTCAGTCATCGTTTCTTCGGATCTATGATCAGAGTTTCCAAGCAAACGATCCATCTTACGAACTCTCAGCTCACAGTAAGTGTTCTTACTTACTTCTGGAAAACCCAGCATTTCCGTGTCACTTCATTGACGCTCGAACGCTCGGGGATTCCTAGATTAAACCGTGAGCCGGCGTTTCACCAACGGCATCACTTCCGCGTCTGTGAGACCACGCTCTCTACAAGCTCAACTCCCGTATCCAGCTGACCAGTCTGACAATTTTTAATAATTATTACAACTGGGGCTGAACGATGGTTTTCTGATCAAAATGGCAATTTCCAACCACGTGCTCCTGTGATGATCAAAGCTGCGTTTTTTTGCAGTGTTCCTGACTGACCCGGGATCTGTCTTGAATAACAAATATGACACAACTGTGTAGCTAAGACCTTGCAACACAAAAGTCCCAAGGGGCTACTAAAAGTTTCAGCACTTCTGGATTTTCTCTCATATCTTGAATGGCCCAAGTGAAGGAGTTTAAGTATCTCGGGGTCTTGTTCACGAGTGAGGGAAAACTGGAGCGTGAGATCGATAGGCGGATTGGTGCTGCATCTGCAGTGATGCGGGCATTGTACCGGTCTGTCGTGGTGAAGAGAGAGCTGAGTCAGAAGGTGAAGCTCTAGATTTACCGGTCGATCTACGTTCCTACCCTCACCTATGGTCATGAGCTTTGGGTAGTGACAGAAAGAACGAGGTCACGGATACAAGCGGCCAAAATGAGTTTTCTCCACAGGGTGGCTGGGCTCTCCCTTACTGATAGGGTGAGAAGCTCGGTCATCCGGGAGGGGCTCGGAGTAGATTCTCTGCTCCTCCACATCGACAGGAGCCAGTTGAGGTGGCTCGGGCATCTGGTCAAGATGCCTCCTGGACACCTCCCTGGTGAGGTTTTCCGGGCACGTCCAACCGGGAGGAGACCTAAAGGTAGACCCAGGACATGTTGGAGGGACTATGTCTCTCACCTGGCCAGGAAACACCTTGGGATTCCCCCAGAAAAGCTGGCCCAAGTGGCTGGGAAGAGGGAAATCTGGGCCTCTCGACTTAAGTCTACTGCCCATGCGACCCGACTCCAGATAAACAGATGAAAATGAATGGATGGATGGATCTTGAATGGCCCAGAAATAATAAATAAATAAATAAATACACGCATTCTTTATCGTCTTCATTGAAAGTTTCATGATTGTTTCATTGTCCATCACTACCACGGACCATACAGGAAGCAGTGGCAGAAGCTTGACCCAAGTCTGATTGGTAAATTACCAATCTACGGTCTGTCTGATGTGACTTTCTCTAATTTAACCTAGAGTAGGTCTAATTAACACTTATTTGCAGGAAATAACTGAGTTGTACTAGTTAGTCCTCCTCCTGCAATGAGAGAAACCATGCACCAATCTGACAAACAAATTTAGCTGTGCCAGTGCGACCAGCTGATTGGCTGCTTCAAATGCCCATGCTCACGCCCCTCTGTCACCATTGGTTGTGGCTTTGTGAGTGGCTGCACCTGTGGGTGCAGCATAAAAAGGCTGTTTGGTGTAACTGCAAATGATATGAGATTAATTAAAGAGATCTCCGTGAGAGCGCTTGCCTGTGCGGCAGTTGGTGAGGCCTTTTGGAGGCTGATTTTAAAGTGAAAAATACTCTTATTTACCACAATAAGTCCAAACCTCCTTCTTATGTAGCATTCCTATGAGTTAGGTTGTAAATGGGGGTTCGTCCGGGATAATCTGGACTTTTTGGAGGAGGTTGGATTGGGTGTTTTAATTGAGTATTGTGTTTTTACAGCCTGGCCTTTGTTTGTCTTTTAGAGGTTTGTGGACGTGGCTTGTGGTGATTCGTTGGTACTGTAGCAGTTTGGTTTTCGTGTGGTTGTGCATGGTAAGGTAAGTTGGACATGAGACGTACCACTTGCAGCAGAGCCAGGTACCCCGCCCCAACATTGTCGAAGTTGATCTTGACGTTCTTCCAGCGTGCACTGTCATTAACCAGACTCAGGCAGTCAGACTTGTTGTTGACAATGTTGATGGGGAAGAGCTCGTCCGTGGTTGTGTTGACGCAGTAGTAGTACTTCCCAGCAAACAGGTTGACACCCATGATGCTAAAGATGAGCCAGAAGATGAGGCAAACCAGGAGGACATTCATGATAGAGGGGATGGCCCCTAGGAGCGCGTTCACCACCACCTAAAGAGCACATGGATAGATTCAGGACATCCTGTTGCTCAAGCATGCTTCTCTTTAAACAGCTGTTTAATTATGATTATCCAACTAATTAGCTATTTTAATCCAATAAACTTGAGAATTAATAGTGATTCTACTCAATTCAGAGCTGTTGTATGCACACAAAAGCACTTAACCCCACACAACTACAAAAAGAATTTAGCATGGCAGCTTGAGAGAAGAAGGTGGATAGGTGAAGTTAACATTTGATAGGTAAAAAGGCAAAAACAGAAAAAAACCTTAGAGAGGCGGGATGAAGTCACAACATTTTGTCTGACTGTAAATGAAAAAAGACACACAACAAAGTAAAAATCACAGGTCAAAAGGCACCACACGAGCAACATCAGAAAACCAAGCTATGTGTGGCTACAGTCATCAGTGGCCACCATGAGAACATGCAGGTAGAAGAGCAGTGTCAGGCTGCTAGGACAGGACGTCTTCACACACGTTGCAGTAAGCATGCAGTCTTACAGGCAGGACCCCTAACCAGCCATTTAACAACATTCTGTCTGTGAAAAAGAGCCAAAACTGATCAAAATCATGGAAATGAGGAAAGAAAAAGTATGCATTTGTTTCCCCTTCAAAACATTGAAACACAAAACAGTTTTTGTGGAAGCAAAGAGATGAGATAAAAAATAACCCAATGAGCAAACTGTGAGCTAACTGAAAACAGCTGCAGATTCCTCTTTAATAGGAGTTATCTTCCTAAATTCACCTATAAGCTATATTTCTACAAACATATTTGTCAAATAAACTGAAGCATCATGAGTTAAGTACAAATATTGACTGATTGTTTCTGTCCTGTCAATAAATGTAAAGCTAACGCATACTTAGCTTAGCATGAAGGCTATCGGTTAGCCTAGCTTACAAGAAGATGACACAGTAATCCAAAAGGGTTCAAATGAAGGCAACTGGACTTCTTTGGTTTCTTGAAGATGATTCGCTTCTCATCCGAGGAACTTTGTCAATTCTGACTGGAATACGGGAGGGTCAAGCTTATACCCTTATATAAGTGTGTGTACACACACAAACACACACACACCTGTTTATACCCTTCCATATCCCAGTCGGAATTGACAAAGTTCCTCGGATGAGAAGCGAATCATCTTCAAGAAACCAAAGAAGTCCAGTTGCCTTCATTTGAACCCTTTTGGATTACCATGACCTGGATGACTGGGCTGCAGTGGCTTGAGCTGTTGCCTTGCAGTAAGATGGCCTTGAGTTCACATCCTAGCCTGGGGCCTATCTGCATGGAGTTTACATGTTCTCCCTGTGCACACGTGGGTTTTCTCCAGATACTCCAGCTTTCTCTCAGTCCAAAAACATAACTGTCAGGTTGATTGGTCTGTTTAAATGATCCTTAGTTGTCAGTGTTTGTGTGCATGTTTGTATGTCCTGTGTGTCTCTGTGTTGCCCTGAGGTGGACTATAAGTCGCATTTTGGGGGGAAATTTTATTTTTCTTACGAAATCTGAGACCAAGCGTTTCACATTGCAAGACAAGTACCGGTAACAATAACAGAATAAACAACCAGGGCACAGCAGCGCGCTACGGTCTCCAGCAGAGGATGGCGGTGTTTCAAACCCCCCCAGCGGGCGGGGAGAGCGCTCGCAGCACCCCGCCACAGGCTGCAGCAGGTGATGGCGGGGCAGGGGAGCTCATTCCTGGTCCGGAGCCGGCCAGCAGCAGCGTGGTATACATAATTTGGTATATAAGTCACTTTGGTATATAAGTCGCAGGACCAGCCAGACTATGAAATAAAGCACGACTTATAATCCAGAAAATAGGGTAACTTAAAATCTGCTAACACTAGAATCAATCCTCTCCCAGCTCCTTATCATTGCTCCTTAACATGAAAAAGGAATAAATATAAACAAATTCTCGAGTTTCTTTTCGGTCTATTATCGATGAGGCCAGTCCCACTGAATGTTGGACAACTCTAATGAGCAGGTGATGTTTTATTACAAGTTCCTCATTTAGTGAGACACAAACTTAAAGAAGAGAATATAAATAGTTTATTATCACAGCTACCACCACTTCCCATGCAGGAGGCAGCCATATTGGATTTTGAGACTGAGACTGGCTGAGGACATCCAGTGTTCCAAATCAAATGTTCAACAGGTTTTTCTGTCATGAGAATTTTGGGTGTTTCTCAATGCCAATGAACCTTGCCTTGATGTCTTGGCCCCGCCCCGGTTGCCTAGGAGATACGTCATCGGGAGCTGCCAAGATGTTCATGTTCTACCGAGGCGTGTGTTTTCTGTTTGATAGCCGTTTAGCTAGCTAAGCAAGGATACATGGGAGGTGTCTTGTAGCCTAGCCTTGGTCAAAAATTACCCAGAATACACCGCAGTATTTTCAAAATGATGGCGGATCAGAAGCCGGCAGCTACTTTGGGGGCAAATTTCAATTTAAAAGTAAGTCAGCTAATTAAAAATGTATTTTTTAGATCCAAAGAAGTTTTCTATTGTTGGTTAGTTGCTTAGTAGTTGCAGCTTTGGTGGCTAGCGGGTAGTAACTCAATTATATTTTTTATTTAATAAGCATATACACAATTTAAAAAGTAAAAGGCTTGTTATATATTCATACTGAAACGATTACGTATAAAATATAACGTTATCTCCCGTTTCACGTGACGTTACGTGACCGCCGTGGAAGCCGCGGTGACGTGATGTAAGTCTGTTGCATTTAACCGTTTTCTTTTACCAAGGAAGGACAGTGTCCTCGTAAGCAAGGCGCCTGGCCTCGCAAGACATTGCCTTGACATTGAGAAACACCCCTTGATTTCTGTGTAAAAATGGAATGCATAATAAAATGTATCTCATACAGGCCACCTTGTTAAAGCTTACCATTTCTCCCAGTAGGTCATTGAAAGACTAGGCTGTAGCTTCAAACTTACTGCACATATACCATAAAATAATACTTTTATACCGAGGCAGTTGGTGATTTAAGATCAGTGTTCTCCGGTTGCCCACAGATAACTGTACACAAGTGGATCGGTGCTGCTGTTATTCCTCGTGTTCTTACCCTCATGCCCTCGAACCGAGACAGGGCCCTCAGTGGCCGGAGGGCTCGCAGTGTCCTCAGAGTTTTGATGGCACTGAGCTCAGAGTAGCCCAGAGCATTTGCTACGAGGCTCACCAAGGACACCTAAGAGACAATAATGTGGCAGACAAGCAGGGAGGGGGAAGGGTGAGAAATGAAAGGAACCCATCTGTAGTGTGTCAGACTGATTGTTTAGAGTAGAAGGCTAGTTAGACATCACTGTTGGCTATCTGCTCTGGATTTAGTCTCTAAAGCCCTGGAAGCTGTAAAACTGCATGTACATACATCTACAATCAGGAAGTCCAGCCAGCACCAAGCGTTGGTGAAGTATTTGACGAAGCCGTATGCCACCCACTTCAGCAACATCTCCAGGATAAAGACGTATGTGAAGACCTTGTCTGCGTACTCCAGGACTGTTTTGATTGTTCGTCGTCGTTCAATGTCAACGTCCTCGAAGGCCTGTGGAAAACAAACCGTCAATAAAAACAGCAACTTTCAAGATTCTGGTTCGAAGAATTAATCACATATCAATGAATAACTGCTTAAAGAATGTATGTTCTATAGGAGACCAAGTCATGTCCATCTACTTCTGGACCACGGGTCCCCAGAAGAACGACAAAGTGAACGCAAGTCAGTGAAGCTAAAAACGCTATTTTCTGCTTGTTATGTGACATGGATTTCACATATGATGTTTGTGCATTTTAAACATGAATTTTGATACCAAGAACTCGCTTATTTTCGAATGGGGAAAAACGTTATTTTAGGTTTTGTGTAAAAATATGTCCAGGACTGCAAATGCGCTTCACCAAAGTGACGTCATCGAACCAGACACGCAGAATGACAGAATGAAAATGGCTGTAAGTTCAGCAAACTTCAAGTCCTTCTTTCAGGATGAAAGAACCACAATAAATCTGGCCATGTTGTAAGTAGCAGCTACGCTAGGGGAGAGGAGATTCTGTGGTGACGTCGTATACACGACATACCCACGTCTGATTTGTAGTCATGCTAATTATGAACTTTTACAAGCTGATAAATCTCAAAGTACGTGACTGGCGTGGTCAAAACACTCATGATTAGTTTTCGTTTAAACTGAAGTAGTCGTGTTTTTAGCCCCGTTGACTTGCATTCATTTTTCCGTTCTTCCGGGGGACGCGTGAGCCGACTGGAAGGGGAGGAGACTTAGGCTCCCTATAAACTGCAGAAGTGTCTGACTCAGTTACAATACAGTTATGATAATTTAATACAATCATATAATAAAACAGTTACTATTTTGGTATTACACAATTCGCCAAAGCTACAATGGCAAATCTGCAAAACAAGCTAGCTTAAAACATCTTTTCATGCCTCCTAACAACATTCTAACATATTAAAGCTA